CGTTAAGTGCAGGGGAGCCGGGCCTAGAACTCAGATCTCAGACACATTCCATCCCCCTGCCCCCCTCCAGACAACCATTTGCAGGAACGGAGCTGCCTTACCAGTGGGTCCCCAGCCTCATTCTGGCCTAGGAGAGAGGTCTCGGGTCTGAGGCCAGGTAATCCCTGGAGACCAGCCAGATGGGCTCTTTGCGGCCCTTTCGCTGATTCTGAGTAATCCCTAGCTGGGTCTCAGAGCAAAAGCAAGAGAGAGCCTGCGGTTTCAGGATCTTGCTCTGGTAACCAGAAGGGCAAAGACACAAAGCTGGGAGGGAAAGTGAAACTTTCAAGTTCTTCCTTGACCTTGGCCAAGGTCGTTTCCTTTGGCCTCACTTGTCCTTATCATTTAATGAGGGGAGAATCCCACTTAAGGCCCTGAGAACAGAAGAAAGGAACAGGTAGTAGGGTAGCCCTCAGCCGGGTGCTGTCCCCCAGGCGGGACCGAGCCCCTGATAGGTGGGGCCGCAGGAAGGGAGCACGCGGGAAGCCGGTTGCTACATCCAGCGGGAGATGGGCTGCAACAGGGTGAGGGTCTGGGGGAGGGGAGAAGGAGGAGGGTCCCGCGCTCTCCTTCCGCGGTTCTGCATACATGTAGGTCGCCTCCAGCCAAGGGTCTGAGCGCCCCCTCCTCTTCTCAGACTCCTCTGGCCTCGCCCCTCCCTCTCACATTCCCAACTCCCAAGGACAACTTGTCGCTTCAGAAACCCCGGGGCTTCTTTCTGTCCCCCTTTCTCCCCTACTTCTTTTGTCTATTTCTGCATCTGACGGCTTCTCTAGGAAGCGTTCCCCGCATCTCCCTCTCTCTTGTCCGTTCTCTCCCTCTCTCTCTCTCTCTCTCTCACACACACACACACACACACACACACACACACACACACACGAGAGTCTCTGTCTGCCGGCCATCTCGGCGCCTTTCCTCGGCTCTGGCCTTTTCAGAGGGCGCAAGGCCCACTCTTGGAGCCGCCGCGCGGTCATCCGACGGCGCCGCAGCAAGGGGGCAGGTGAGATTGGCGGGAGCCCCGCCCGGGCGGACAAGGGCCCCCCAACCCGCGCCAATCCGCCGCCTCGGCCCTGTCCTCGCCCCCTCACCCCGTCGCTGGCGCCAGGGTGACTGAGCACGCACGAGTCCTTTCGCGCCCCCAGCGCCGCTGTCGGCGCCGCTGCCCCAGATCTAGACACTGCGCCCAGAGGCCTCACTGGGCCGGGGTGGGGGGTGGGGCGGCAACCCGCAGCGGCTGAGCCCTTGGCCCCGGCGTCGTCACCTGCGTCCTTAGGCTCTGGAGAGACCAGAACCCCGAGTCCCTGCAGCCTCTGAAGACGCGTGGAGGACGGCGCGGTTCGGAGAGGTAGGTGAGACACTCCCCGCCCAGCCTCTCGCTGCTGGGGGCCGCGACCACGCAGATCAAAGCGGAGGCGTGAAAGACCCCTCTGGGGCCCGGCAGAACCCCTGCAGCGCTTTGAGGACTGATCGGCCGTGGCCGGTGTGGGCTACCCGGGCCGCCAGTTAACCTTGGGCTCCGGAGCAATCCAGCTTCTCGTGTGGGGCCTCGGGGCACCCCCTCAACGCCTTGACCTCCCCGCCCCTGCCCCTCTCGCACTGGACTCTCCCTTACACAAGCGAAGGTGTGTAAGGGGACAGAGCCTCGCCTCCCACCCTTTCCCCGCAGCCCTCGCTCCCTAGAGCCGGGTGCTGAGTCCCCCGCGCAGCCTCAGGCCCTCTCCATCAGGTCTCCCCGCTTGCAAATCCGGATTCCAAGCGGATGCAGCCAGAGAGACCGGGCGGCTGTCCCCAAAAGCCTCGTGGGTGGGGGTAGCTTGGAAAGGGACAACGGTTATTCTTTCTCCATGGAAATTAGAAATTGGCCTGGAACTCTGGGTTCAGACCGGAGTACCAGGCTTCCCGGGTGCAGAATCAGCTCTCTCTCTAGAAGTCCCCTGGAAGGGATGGAGGGAGAATGGTTGGAGCAGTCTCTTGCCTTTGGCTGTTTTTCCGCTGCTGCAAGGGGACCCAGATTTCCTTGCCCTCTGGATTGTACTGGGGCTAGTGTGGCCTCCTGCCTGGGAAAGCATGTATCCGAATCTGGACTGATGTCTGGCGCCGCCATCTTACTTGAAACTCACACTCACAAAAATGATGCTTGTGCATTTTTTGTAGAGGCGCCTGTTGTTTGTGGTAAGGGGCAGAAGGCAGAGATAGGACCTCAATCTGTACAGACTAATTCAGGGTCCAGAAGTACTGTTGAAAGGCATGTAGAAAGAAGTAAGCATAAAGGGTTATGCAGTATCGTGGGGTCTCTGAGGAATTAGTAAACTTCAGGAATCAGTGGGGAACTCCTGTATCACGGCAGCTGTGTCTCTCCCAGTATTTAAGCATCATGTAAAGATTGAGGATTGGTAAAAACATGCAAAAGAGACAGGAAATTATATGCTCCCAATTGTGCTCAGTTAATAAGGGTTGCAGGCAGGAAATTCACATGCATACCTGTACACTCCCGTCTTCCAAATTAGATCAGTGCGTGGTCAGTTTCACATATTCCAGATATGCTAAATGTGGAAACATACAGCACAGAACTGTCCTTTCCAGTATCCGTATAAACACAATGACCCATAATGGAAAGGAGGTGTTCCCTGACTGAAAGTTCACATTTCTCAGTGTATTTCTCTGATCCTTGGAGGGAGAGAGACTGAGGCTTTTCCTCACCTGATCTTCCCTGCAAATCCCTCTTTGGAGCTGCAGCTTCTCCCTTTCCCTAGAATCTGGAGCGCTTGGCTTTAAATCCGGAGAGGCCTCCTCACTCCCCCAGCCCAGAAGGGATGAAACCCCCTTCCACTCTGGACCATATCACCAGATTCCCAGGTGGTGAGTTGCCTGTCCTCTACCGTGGCTTAGAACCACCACCCCAACACACACATACAGGTGTGCACACTGCCCCAGAAGAAATGCAAGGAAAGGCTTTACTAACCCCGGGCAAGGTTCTGTGGGAAAGCTCCAAGGCCTAGAAGGAGAGCCCCTCATTTTTCCACACTGCACTTTGGAAGGCTCAGGAGAGTTTTGACTTCTCACCGCCTCAGAAGCTACTGACCCCATGACTGGAGCATCTGTTATGCTGGGAACTTAGTCCCCCACCCACCCTGCCTCCAACTTCTCTTCCTGATTAAAACAAACATCAGGTTTCAGATGCATTTGGTTTAGAAAGAGAGGTAGATTCTTTTAACCTACTGAAATTACCTCCCTTGTTTTCTCCTCCCTCATTGCTTGTTCTCTGCCTCTTGGGTTTTGTCTTCTCTTTCTCTCCAAGCACAGAAAGACCGAAAATGCAGGACTTTTCTGGGCTTGGAGGGAACGGATGGAGAGGGAAAGGAGGGAATGTGTGACCCATCCAGGCGGCACTGAGAACTGTGATTGGAGGTGCTAAGTCATCAGAGAAGCAACCGCTGTCCAATGCCTAGAGGTTGTTTGATTCCAGGGTCCCTCACACCCCAAGAATCCAATGGCACGTCTTCCTTAAGCGGAACTAAGGATTTGAGACTAATGCAATTTTCAAAAACAGGAAGAAGAAAAAAATGCTCCGTTGTTTGGGTGACCTGATGTGGAGGGAATGTGCAGTCTGGGCAGAGGTCTGGGCCTATAGAGAAATGAGTCCTCAGGGCGGAGGGGAGTGAGGCAAGGCCTGCCACCAACTGGGGCTCGGTGAGGGCAGGTTTGGCCCTGACCTGGCCAGCAGAGGACCCTGGGCTGTTCACAAGGTGGAGGTGAGATCCAGGGACTGGAGGTCTAGGTCCCTCTCCCGCCTGGCCGCCCCACAGGCCCTAGAGCCCACTCAAAAATCCGGAACAGCTGAAAAGGGGGACAGAAATCCCTGAAAACACCCAGATCTGTAATCTGCTTAAACATCCAGACCCATCTTGACAGAAAATTTTTCTCCTTGGTTGACTTGCAATTTTCCACTCTTCAGTTTGGTAATGTGCCCCTGGTGCCAGTTTGAGCTTTCAGATTTTGGGGTTCAGAGCTCAGTCTCTAGGTAGCTAGACTGAAAGGTCTGTGGCCTTTCCCCTCCTTTCCCCATGCTCCCCTTGCTTCCTTCCCTCCCAGAGCTTCTCAGAAGATGACTAGGGCCTTCTTGTAGAGCCATGAAATCCCACCATTCCAAGGATGTTAGACTCTTGGAATGTCAGGTTAAGACATTAACCAAAAAAAAAAAAAAAAAAAGAACTGCTATTTGGATTATATCAGAGGAGTCTGTGCCTGAAAAATGTTGAGACCAAATATGGTCTTTCATGTGGGTTTCCCCTCCCCCTACCTTGAGCTTATATCTCAGTGCTTACCAGGTTGAGCTCCACCTGCAGAAGCACCCAGGTTCTCTCCTCTCCCCACCCCTGTCTGTAAAGCAAGGGGCAAAAGCCACCAAGGCCTGAAAAGTTGCCCAAATCTCAACTCCTTCTTCTTCAGCAAGATGCTGGAGTGGCTACCCTCAGCGAACTTTCCATCCTTGCCCTACCTCCCTTCCTCCCCTTCCTCAGCCCCAGTTATAGGAATAATGAAGGCCAAAGCTTCCCCATCCCTATCCCATCGCCCATGGGATTGGAGGCCCCGCTCTGTGTTGCCCCCTTCTCAGCCCTTTGCTTTTGAAGAACCCTCAGCAGCTGTTCAAGGCTGAATCTTGGCTGGAGTGGAAGTGAGGGCTTAGTCCAAAATAACCTGGCTACTAACTAATCATAATGAGAAAAACAACCATGAACTCCTGAGCCTTCACTGAGCCTTCACTATCCAACCTTTTTTTTTTTTTTTTTTAACCCCCCTTTAACTATGGCCAAGGCCTCAGCGCCTCCGCCCTGACCTGCCAGGAGTAATCAGATTGCCCAAAACTCTTTTATGGCGAGAAGAGTCAATACCCAGAGACTTCATCCTTTAAAACAATAAAAAGGGAGAGGAGCCAAATTTCTATTCGTTAAGCCCCTTACCTCTTTCTCAGCCGGTGCGCTCCTTGGTCCCGGGGGCCTCCTGGGCTCCGAGGTGAAGCTCCTCGCAGCAACCTTTTCCCCCCCGCCGCTCCTCCTGCGGTCTGAGCTGTCCCTGCCTTGCGACTCCTGCAGCAGCCGCCGGGAGAAACTGCGTCACTGCCCTCTACCGTGGGACCAGGTCTCCTGGGGATCGGGACGGTAGCCCCTCCGCGCGAGGGGTTTGAGACCGATGCGCCCCTCTGTCCCCCAACTCCAGACACGCTTGGAACTGCGCCGAACGACCCCAAGTCCTATGCAGGGTTCCCTCACTCCCGGGCCAGCGCAGCCGTCGAGCAGCACAGCACAGCAGCGCAGCACACGAGCTCCGCAGTGCTCCGTGGGGGATCACGTCCCGGCGGGGCGCGGAGCGAAGGTCCCAGCTCTGGCTGAGCGACTGCCTCCCCACTGGGGGCAGGAGGACCGGGAAGTCGCCGGGGCGGGAAGGCGGCCGGCCGTAGCAGCCGCAGAGACTCCGCGCGCCTCCAACCGCCGCCGCCGCCACAGGCCCGCCCAGCTGCAGGCTGGCGCGGCAGGGGTGGAATCAGGAAGCCTGGCGGGGCCTGGCTTGGAGCCCCCGGACCCCCTGAGGCGGGAACCTGGAGGAGGGATTCGAAAAGAGGCTTTCAAATCCGCCCAGGCGTCCGGAAGCGGCAATAAAGGGGCGAAGGGAGGTCGCAATTCCGCGGGTGCCCCCTCGGACGCCGCAACGCCAAGGGCGGGTAGACTCACGGCCTCTGCCCTCTTCCGGAGGAGATGGGATGGCCTGGGGGGCTCCGTCCAGCCCCCGGCGGCGGGCGGCGCGGGGAGCGGCTGTGAACGCTGACCCAGCGCCTCGCCCCAAGCGGGATCTCCGCGCGCGGGGACCTGCAGAGGCTGGGGCGGGGCGGGGCGGGGCGGGGCGCCCTTTCCTAGAGAGCCTCTTGAGGCGGTTCTGCTCTGGGGGCGAGTGGGTCCTAGGCTCGGCTACTCCGCGCACGAAAACATTGGCTCCCTCCGGCCTCCGGCGCCTGCACCACTTGCCCCCATTTCCCGGCCCTGGATTTCCCCTCCTGGATGAGCCCTTCCTCCCCACAATGAACAAACGATCTAGCGGTACCCTGCCAGGTCCGCTTCTAGCCTCCCGAACCGACTAATTAATTGGAGAGCCTTAAGGAGACCGAGGAGTCGTAAATGGGCAGTTTGGAACGAGGGGGCGCTGACGAAGTCATTAACCTCCGGGTAAAGACGGGGAAAGGAGACGCGCCTGGCTGCGTCCGCGGCCCCTGTGGGCCCTTCTCTGCACGCGGGTTTTGCCTGCCCCACTTGCCGCCGCGCTCCGGCTCCCAGCTCCCGTCTGACGGTTTTGGTTCCCTCTTTGTCATTCTCTCTGGTTGCTTTCAAGGGCCCCGTTCTTTGTGTCTGCTTCGGTCTACCTGTTCAGCTGTCTCTCGTTCCCCTTTCGGCGCCCAACCCGAGGCCAAGAGAACTTTAAAGTCATGAAGAGCGGCCTGGCTGGCGGTCTAGGCTCCCGGGGTCACAGACACGGCCCCCCAGCCTTGGCTGGGACTGGGGGACCTAGAGATCCCAGGAGATAGCCACAGCACGTCCCCCCAGGAGCAAGGGCCTTCCCGAGGGGAAAACGGATGCTGAAACTTTCAGCTCCTTTTCGGATCAAGGCCACAAATGGCTGGAGAAGATCCAGGCCCCAGTCGAGAAAAGCTCCATAGCATTTAGAATAGAGACCCAGAGACCCTGCTCACTCCTCCTCTGCGGGGGGGGCAAGGGTGCAACGAGGTCAGGTCGGACTTGTGGGCCATCTGTCTCAGTCCTAGGGTCCTCGGCACCGGTAAGCAGGTGCCCATTGTTCGTTGTTCCAGGGCAGGCCAGGTGACACTATACTCCTGACCTTGTGATACACTTACAATTGTTCATCCTCTCTTTTAATTTTTCCCGTCAGGTACCCAAATCTATTTCACTGTCTCCCTCTGCATCTCATTTGAGGTATTTGTATGTGTATGGTGGATGAAAGGTTCTTAACATTTTTGGGTTCACACAATGATGCTTTAAAATCTGATGAAAACTATTGGTTCCTTCCTGGAGGGGAGGGGGGATTACTTATATAGTGCCCACCAAATCCCACAATTTCAGAGGATCAGTATCCTTGGACCTCAGGTTAAGAACTCCTATTTGGATTGATTAAAGAAGTAGGTGTCTGGAAAATGCTGAGACCAAATATGGTCAGTTAATATAGGTCTTTGCTTTTATTTTCTCCCGTGGCTGATATCTCGGTGTTTACCAGGTAGACCTTCATCGTTAAAAGCATCTATGCAGCAATGTTTCTCTCCCCACCACTACCCATAGGGCCTGGGTTCCCAGTGGGGGGTCATTCTTTCTTCTCTTTCCCTGACCAGGGGTCCAGAAAATGGGAAGAGCTTTGCTGCGGAAAACTGACCATGGACTGGTCCAGGGTGGGACCAGATGCTGGAAGGAAGTGGGACTTAGGCAGCCACCCAGGAAATTTAAAAAAAAAAAAAAAAAGTACTGAAACTCCTGGGAAGGGAAAGCTATCTGGTGACAGGCCCCCAGATGATGCTGTCTGTGAGCCAAACAAGTAGGGATCAGGCAGGAGAATGTTCTTTTGTGTCCCTTGTTAATCTACTTAATTCCATTTCCTCAGAGACCCCAGCTCCTCGTGGGGCTGAGGGTTTAGCGGTGGAGGTACTGAACTCGGGGTTAAGAGGGGGCAAACTTGCTCCTGAACATTTTTGTAAGTTTCTTAGTAGGAGCCAAACATATCAGGTAGCCCCTGACAAGCCTGGGAGACTTTCTCATCTCACCCAGCACGTGTGTTGTTGTGGCTTCTTTAAACTCTTTGTCCACAGCCTAGTATCAGCTTTCTGGCCTTCTCCCCACTCCTGTGACTTGACCAAAATCACCCTGAAAAAAGTCAGATTTCATTGGGGTCTGGGAAGTGAACAGACTTCCTTCTTCTAGGACTATGTTCAGACAGATTAAGGGATCAGGGAATTATCTGGCTTATTGCAACCCTCCCAACACACACACACACACACAGCCCCTGGTTGGTCCTCAATCGCCTACACATTTCAAGCAAATGTGACTTGGGGAAGGAAAGACCCCAACCCATTGCTAGCTGCCTGTCTCTGGGCTGATACAAACACCACCTACCACAGTTCTAGGCTCTAATGGAAACCAAGGGCTGGCTAATAGTATTCAAACCCCTGCCTGCAAATAAAAAGAAAAAATAAACAATTTTCTGCTTGGGACAACTTAAACTGAAGAATTCAGGCTGTGAACACCTGACCTAAATACTTCTAATCAGAGCAGAAGAAATATATTCCCATTTGTTCCCTACTTTACTAATTAAAAAAAAAAAAAGCTAATTGGTGTTCTCAGGACTTCCGACTGAGGGTCAGGAGCCTCTAGCCATCTCTCCACCCCTTCTCAATTCCCTGTGTCTCCCCACCCCCTCCCACAAGGCCATCCCCACCGTGGAGTTGGCCTCTTTCAGACAGACAATGGGAGGGGGCTGCCCTTAGACCATCAGGCCCCTCCCCTGCACCAGAACTTTGGCCCTGGAAGGCAGTGCTGTCATTGGCCAGAAGTTCTTGCCCAGCAGGGTCTTCCCCCTTCCCGGATCCCTGGACTAGTTTCTGGGGGCAGAGACCTCTTACTGGCTGCAAGTCAGCACTGCTAACTGGTGGAGTGCAGCTCCTGCTGGAGCCCCAGAGCTTAGCCCAGTGCCGGGCACACAGTAGGCACTCAGATGTTTCTGGAATGTGAAATAAGAGTTCCCACCAGGCACAGGTCTAATGATTTGTTTGGGGAGTTTCTGAGGCTGATGCATGGAGAACTTGAGGGCCTCCTGATGCCCAGGAGATAAACAAGCCCTGGTTTTATTCCGAATTATTTCTCAGATGTTCTGCTTTAATTCCAGCTTTCTGGGCACCCTATTTCTTTTGTATCCATTCTCTAAGGCAGGATCCTGCTCACTCCAGCAAAGGGGAAAGGCTCATTGAGAAACTGCATGAGAATATGCCACCACTCCCCAGACTTTCCCCCACCAGATCCAGATACTTCAGGCTAAAGGAAGTTTGAACCTGAAATGAGCCAGATAATTGCCCCAATTCTCTGTTCCTTTTTGAAGAGGTAGTTACAGGCCAAGGGGTTCAAGGGGCCTCACTTTTATGGACATTGCTCTAAGTCAAAAGAATACATTATACATATACAGGCTGAGAACGTACCCTCCAACCTAGACTAGTTCTCTGAGAACAAAGCAGGCTTCCTCCTCCCCCCTTCCCTCCTCCTCTCCCTCTTCCCCCCTCCTCCTCTCCCTCTTCCCCCCTCCTCTTCCTTGTTATTAATAGTTACTATTTACTAAATGCTCCCTGTTCACCGGGCATTGCGCTAAATCCTAGACACGTTGTACATTAATTAATCCTTACAACAACCCTAAGAGTTAAGACGCCGAGATTTTGCGGCTGTAAAAACCGAGTTACTTTTCCCAGCATAAAGCCTCTGTGTGTGTGTGTGTGTGCGCGCGCGCGTGCGTGCGTGTGTGCGTGTGTGTGTGATAATGTTGATGGGATACCCGCAGATCTGAACGTTCAAGTGGTATGACTCGGATGGAAATGAAGAAAATTGACAATGAGAAGATCTTAAAGTTTTTGAAATATGGAATGTCTTAATAGAAAGCGGATAGTTTCTCCTGCCCTAAAGTGAACAAAGAAGTGATGCAATTAACTGGCTAATTCCCAGCCCCAAATGCTTTCCCTGGAAATGGGCAGATAATGAGGCCGACAGTATGTTCGCAGCTGAATTCGCCTGATGTTGCTCCATTTCTCCCCCTAACTTTGGCGAATCGATTGGGCCATCACCCTGAGACGCACAGACGCCTCCCCGACGCTCACATACTCACGCGCACGCGCGCGCACACACACACAAGACTGCTGACACACGCAGGCCCGAATTTATCCTGCCTCTAGAGCCTTTTACGATTCAGCCTCGGGAATGAAAATAGGGTTTGGCGCGGAGTAATGTGCCCGAGGCCGGCTGGGGCGCAGCTGCTCCAGATGTGCTCTCGGTAATTAGGCGTCCACGAGAGCCCCTGCCCCGCGGGAAAGGCGCGTCTCGCGGGGCCGCGGACGTGGGCCAGCGGGGCGCCCCTACCCTTTCGCGCGGTGGGCGCGTGCCCTTTGCTGCCCCCCCCCCACACCGGCCGCCCCCTAGCCCCTCTTCTTCCCTTCCCTTCTCTCAGGGGACCTGTCTCCTAAGAGTAACTTTGGAGAGACGTCTCCAAGAAGGCCCCGCAGTATAAAATGGCGTCTCTGCCTTGGCAGAAGAAGAGGGACCCCGGTTTCTCCTACCCCGTGCTCCTCAGGTTTGGGGCATCTCTGAGCTTAGACTCAGAGGGATGGGGTCCCGAACTAGGCTTCTTTTTCCCATCTGTAATATGGCTTCCTTTTCCTGTAATTCGAC